AATTATTATTGTAATTCTAGTAATTATATTTTATTTGTAACATACATGTAAATTTATATGATTATAACGCTTAATAACTGCTCTCCTATACTTGATTATATTAAATTAATATTAATACATATCATTAATTATTATTAATTTATATTATTCCTTGTTATATATTTCACATGTCATATGTCAAAGAAAGATTTTTTTTTTATTAAAGGATGCATTTTTTTATTTTGCCTCGGGCACCGAAATGCCTAGTCCCGGCTTTATAGTATAGTGTGTTATTTTTACACGAAAAACCAATTGTGTACATCTATAATGTATATACAATTGTGTATATATTGTGTACATTATAGTTATCTTTTACACACATAAATTTGCAGTGTACTTTTATTTAGTGTTTACTGAATATCTACAATTATGTAAGTATAATGTACTCTCATGTGGACGTTGTATTTAAAGTAATGAAATCTTTAACTGTGAGATGCATGGGAATATTTACTTTAAATAGATTAATATAGTATTATAATTAGTTAAATAATTTTTTAAATACGTTAGATTTTCAAAAGAACATTGTGTGCATTTAAAAAATTTAACGCAAATATTACGCTATAAAAAATATTCTGACTTTATATTAACAGATAAATAAGGAGAAAAAATAATATCTTCTTAATCTTGTGTTTATCAAAATAAACAAACATTACACGCAATACTTTATAACATTTTTTGCTATAATATATGCAATATTTTTTCTGCTAACATTAAACATCATTGTTCTTTTGAGCATAGTTTGTTAGAAAACATGTCATCGAAAATAATGTATATTATCTTTTCTTACTTAAAATGTACTTACATACATTTATTTTAATTGCTACAAATATTTGAAGTATACTTTTATATACTTATCTTCCTTCATCGAGCATTTAAAAAAAAATTTTTGATAAGTTTTTAAATTAATTATATAATAATCATTTTAGTCGTATTAAATAGAGAAACATGCGCGTAAATATTTCAATTTATTTCTAAATCTAAAATATTGCTGACTTATATCAATTATTTATTTCTTTTCGTATAATAATAGTTATATATTTTTACTGTAAATTTTTACTATAAATAAGAAGTTAAAATATAATTTTTATATCTATTAAATAATATATCTAATCGCTCATAGTAAGAAAACAATTTCCTAAATAAAGGCATAATTAAATAAGTTATAAATCTAATTGCTTCAATTAATAATGCAATTATAATAAGAATTAAATTTATAATAGC